TTTCCTTTTTCTCTCTTTTTTAATCTTAAGTTTTTCATTTCCTTTCTAATTCTCTTTGGAGAGTCATTGATCCATTCATACAGGGTAGCTTTTTTTGTGACAAATTCTTTAAGTTTTCTTTTGTATGAATGTGTCCTCATTTCCCTTTCATTTCTGAAGAATAATTTCACTGGATTTGGACTTTGTGACTGACAGTTCTTTAAACCAGTACTTGAAAAAATGTTCCACTTCCTTTTGGCACAACTGTTTCCCACCACCCTCCCCCAGTCAGCCGTTTACACTGGTGATTGTACTTTTCAGTTCTGTAATTAACATTTTTTCCTTTTTGTAATTTCTATTTTCTTCATTTGTTTCAAGAAAATTAGTAATTGCTTGTTGGAGCATTTTTATGATAACTGCCTTGAAATCTTCGTCGGACAATTCTGACATCTGATTCATATTTTTGTTGGTATCTGTTGACTGTTCCCCCCCACCCGCCCACTGAAGTAGTGATTTTCCCTGTTCTTCGTAGGATAGTTTTTTTTTTTTTTTTACTGTACCCAGGACATTTTGGGTACTATGAGACTCTAGAGCTTACTTAACCTTCTTTTTTAACAGATATCCCTTTGTTATAGTATAGTAGGAGGGCAATATAAATATTGTTAAGCTTCTTCCTGGGTCCCACTGACACCACTCTGGCAAAATTGAGGCACTCATTCATACTGCTTCATTAAAGACAGTAGGGCAGAAATTTAGGTCCTCTCTTAGTCCTGCCAAGACCTTTCTGGCAAAAAGTGGGGCACCACCTTGCTCCACATTATTGATAGTAGGGGTAGATGTTCATCTCCCTGCTGGGCCCTGCTGACACCAAGAGGGGAAGGAGAAGGTTAACGCTTACTGAGAATGGAATATTAGTTATTCCCATCTCGTTCAGTCTTACTGATGCAGACAGGGATGGAATCACATCACCCTTATAGGCCTCAGAGACACAAAAAAAGGAAGGTAAAGGAGAGTTGTGAGTAGCTGTACCCTGCACTGTTTCTTTAGTCTTACTGCTGCTGGGTTGGGGTAGACACTCAGCTCATCACTGGACTCCACAATTATTATTATAATTAATATTAATTATAATTATTAATTATATTAATTAATATATAATAATATAATATAATATAATAATTATAACAATTATCTTGCTACAGGAAGCAGAACACACCCTGTTTCCCTGAGCTAATGGAAGATCAACTACCCACTAGGCCCTAACTACAGTATCCTAGCAGGGAAATCAGAGCACTGCCTATTTTGTTGGGAGTGTGGGAGACTGAACAGCTTCCTGGTCAGCTCTGCCAATAAACACTACCAGAAGAGGGATTCAAAGCTTTGCCATCTGCCTCTGTGGTAGCAGGAATGAGGTGGAAGATTAGCTTCCTATTTGGCTCTGCTAAAAATGTGGGGCTGCTAAGTAGTTTCCCCATTGTTATTGGGCTGGAGTAAGGTGAGTATTGACAAACACTTTTGTTCTGTTAGTCTACTCTTGTCCTGGGTCCTATGGCTTGAGGACAAGCTTTCTTAGGTGTTTTTTTGTTTTATTTTGTTTTGTTTTGTCTGTGTCTGTTGGTGTTTCCAGATTGGGGTTTCATCAGTGTCCTTTTGAGATTAAATAGGAGACAAAAAGGCAACCCAGTTAACTCATTGCTGTGTTATTCCTCAAGTTCTGAAATCCTTAGAAAGTCTGATTTCTTTTTCCTACCGTCAGAGTCTTTCTATACTTGTTTATTTTGTAATGTCCAGGAATTTTGAGTTATAAAAGAAAATATTGGGGAAGAATAGAACTACTGTATCTTAGCTAAAACCAGAAGTTTCTTCGGCAGGAATATTTTTGAAACTTGATAAACTGGAGCAATTAATATATGAGCCAATAGTATTAAAAAACCCCCACAAACCTTTCCTATTATGTTAAGAAAAGCATTATAACCAAAACAGTATGGTGCTAGCAATGGAATAAATGGATCGATGAAACAAAAGTTCAGGAAAAGACAGACTTATGTATGTGTATGTGTGTATTCAGGCATATGAAAATTTAGTGTAAGATAAATGAGGCAATTCAAACCAGTGGGGGACAAATTGCTTTTTTCAAAAAATTGGGCTGGGAAAATAAAGATATCTTTGAAAAATATTTTGTAATTTTAGTCATCCCATATATAAAAACAAGTTTATCCCAATATAAATTATAGATAAGGAATTAATATTTAAATATTTCTATTTTAAATAAATACACCCAAGGTGGTAGTTTACCTGCCATTACGATGAGGAAAATAATTTGATTTCATATAGAAAAGTTGAAAATACACATTACTTAAAACTCGGGAATTCCTTTTCTCAGTATATACCTCAAAGAAACTCTTAAATAGAATGTTTTATAAGATTTTATACCATCATTTTTCATAATAGCTCCAAATGGAACTAAGGTAAAAGTCCATCAAGAGTAGGATGTCAGGGCACCTGGGTGGCTCAGTGGGTTAAGCCTCTGCCTTCGGCTCAGGTCATGATCTCAGGGTCCTGTGATCAAGCTCCGCATTGGGCTCTCTGTTCAGCAGGGAGCCTGCTTCCTCCTCCTCTCTCTCTGCCTGCCTCTCTGCCTACTTGTGATCTCTCTCTGTCAAATAAATATATAAAATCTTAAAAAAAAAAAAAAAAAAGAGTAGGATGTCTCACTAATTTGTGGCACAATGGAGTATTTTACAGCAAAAAATAAAAACAAAAACAAAAAAAGAACAAAACAACCTCCCCCAAAATCTTAGCTATAGATAATGCATATGAATATGATATAGATAATGAATATGACTAAATCCCACAGTGCTGAACCAAAGAACTAAGGCACAAGAGAATGTATACATTGTGATTCAATTCATATAAAATTCAAAGAGAAACACAAATTTTAATAGTAAGGGATGTGTATAAAAATAAAACTAAATAAAATGAATGTGAAATAATAAAAACTCGGGATATTGGGTGGAACAGATGGTCACGATTGGGCCAGGAATGCATTTGCACTTTATCCCTTAAACTTTTGGCCAAGCATCTACTATGTGGTGATTTATTATAATCAATCAGTAAATGCTTAATTCAAACCATGTATGAACTAAATAATAATTTCTGGTGCTAGAAATATTGTGAAGATCACCATACTTTGTAAAAATTGAATTATATTTTATTAATCAATCGTATTTTAATAATAAAAATACACATGCATATTTATTTATACATGGTATATTGTAGATGTATTTCAAATTTAAACTCCATTGTACTATTCAGATAATTTTAAATTACTCAGTTATTTACCAACTAAAGTGAACATTATAAACAGATGTTTCACATATCCTCCAATCAAAACAAAAAGATTATATCTGATTTCAGTTGAAAATGCTAATGGTGCCATCAAATAAATGTTGATGAAATATTGTATAACAGGTCTTCTTCCAATGCTTTTGAAACAAGAATCAATTTCATATTTTTTCCTCAGGCTTTAAACTCTCTAAAGCTATTTTAGATATAACACCAGTAATTAATTTTAAAAAATCATATAGTAATGTCATGCATGAGTCATGTTTTTTTGAAGGAATCTACTGAGGGATAACTCTTATAATTCTAGAATTTCAAAAACCACAATGAAAAATTACTTCTTTAGAGAAAAGTCATGACAAAAAATAGACAGTGTTTCTTCTAATTAATTAAATTAATAAAAATATATGAATCGTTTGGTTCTTGGATAGGTCAACAGTTTTGGTCTACTTTTATTACTTAATATAGCTTTTTTAGGTGATTCCATTAACTAGCACGGCCTCAGGTAGTTTTTGGATAAGGACAAATTCTAACATCAATTGAAAGATAAAATTATCTTTCTTCTGAGGTTCTGGATGATTTAACCAATGACTTAATGGGTATTTGGTTATCTGAGAGGGACCTCAAATAAGTTCAAAGCTTACCCTCTTTACTCTCAAACTTATTCCTTCTCTTTTATCTCCTCTTTAAGTTAATAGCAACACAAGCTGGACTGGACCTAAGGTTTCTCTAAACCAAAGTATTATATGAACTTATATCAAGTTGGAATGGGTCTTTTGACACTCCTGGTTTATTTTTTTCCTGCTAGAATATAATTATTGGATTAATTTCTGATTGGCTATATAGGACACCAGGCATATTGAAACTAATAGTGTATTACATAATAAAGACCAATGAAATTAACTTATTTGAAAATAATGTTAGCAAATGAAATTATTGACTAAAATTTGAATTTATTGAACTTGATTTTGGAAAGGCTGATTAAATCAGCTTGATGATTTGTTTGGATCTTTAAATGTCATTGTTAACAATTCAACTCAGTATTGTTATCCTTAACTATTGCTTTACAGTTGTTAAATTTTATTTATATAATAGATAATAGGTTCAGTTCTTATTAGATTGTAAATTGCTCTTGGGGAAGGGCCACATGATATGCCAGAAGACTAACAGTCCATAGGATTGAATAAAATGTTAAAAACAGAAAAATGCAGACTATGTAATTTTCAAAGAGTAAAGTCAAGTTTTCATTTAATGTATAAATTTTAAATTGCCAATTTGCAATTGCAAATACTATGTTTTCACTGGAACCAGAAAATATTTTCTAGAAGACTGGTATTTATAATTAGTGAAAGCTTACAGGGAAAATAAATTAAAACAAGATAGAAAGATAATCCATTATGCACACTAATGCCTATATATAATGTTTCTTATGTAGATTTTCAATGAATTTCACATGAAGTGTTCCTTTTTGATCTTCCAAAAAATTTTCATAGAGATGCACTGACAATGGTAATTAAAATCTGAGGAGGATTATTTTATGTTTTTTAACTCAAATAGGATAACTGTGACTTAAATGAAGTCCCACACCCAAAGATTAAATAGTGTAAAGGAAAAGCAATGCTTCCCCCACCTACCCGGCGAGATACTAAGTCTTCTAAGACATAAAAAATGGCATACTGTACCTTGATTTCTTCTATTTCATCTGGTACTATCTTGTATGCTGATATAGTCCCACCCAACCTGAAATTAGGAAAAGAAAATATTCTCAAAACCGTGGCGGTGTATATTTATGGACTATTTCTGCCATTAGCATCAGGATGCCACCAATAATTGCCCATTGTCCACCCCAATGACCATAGAGTAAAAACAACATTTTCATGCTTAAGTTTACCATATATTACTTAAAAAGAGGTGGATAATGAATGACTACCAAAAGAGGAAACATTAAGTTATATTTCTAACTACAAACTTCTCTTATATCATTTTATTATTAAAAAGCACTTTTAATAGTGCTTTTACTATTACACCACTTTTACTGATGGATTCTGTCACAAGTAAGATGCAGCAAGAATTAATAACAGACATGGTATTTGCCTTCTTGGTTTGCTTGTAACAGAATTTACTTTTTAGAGTAGTTTTGAATTTACAGAAAAATTGAGTATGAAGTAAAGAGATCTATTTTCCGGATGCTCCACCAATCTTCCTTCCAGATGTTATTAACATCTTATATCAGTGTTGTACATGAGCATGAGTCACAATTGATGAACTAAAAATGATTTTGTTTCTCTTCAAAAATAATTTAAACAAGCAGTTGAAGAGATATGTGTGTGTCCAGCATTGTCCAAGGAAAAGAGATGAATGCTTAAGGGTTACAACTTAATCCCTAAAATATGATGTTGCCTTGAGGCAGTGAGGTCATTACTGCCATGGTCACCTGTTTGAATTTTTTTTTTAAAGAAAATACCTAAGAATTATGTAACACTATTTGCCAGACATGTCATATATTATCTAATTTAATTCTTAACATCTGTTGCCATTGTAAAAATTGGGATTTGATACACAGAGTGATTCAGTAATTTTCACAAGTAATTGAAGGAAGGAACTGAAATGCACATTAAATGCAAAATATATACCAGATTAAAAGTACTTAGTGTAAAAAAGGCTAATTTAAAAGTACCAAACACATTCGAAAATAATATGGCGGATTTATTGCATCAAATTATATTTTTAAAATTAACTTCATCTGTTTCTTTTAGTTTTTAAAATGTGACTACAAAAAAATTTTAAATCAAACAGCTTGCATTTGTGACTAGTATCAAGTATCTATCAGATAGGTACTCTAAGCTCTTAAACACCAAGATTACCTACCTACCATTACTTAAATATAGTGCTTAAAAAGGAACTTTCTGACCACTTATTTGGCTTTATAAATACTTCAATATCAGAAAAGAGAATATCTGTCTAAGATAGTAGAGTGTAGAAGACCTTAGTTTAGTCTGGCCCGAGGAATGCACATAGATAGCTATCAAATCATTCTGAACACCTGCAAACTCAACCAGAGATCTAAAAATAGATCTTAAAAATAGAAAAGTGTATACGTTCTGCAAGGTAGGAGGTACAGAGAAGTGAATTCAAGCAGACTTATGGTAAGATAAACTGAGGGCTACCCTCCTTCTGGAGGGAGCCTCCAGAAGCTGGCACTATAAGTGATATAGCAGCAGAATGCAAAATCAGAACTTTCAGAAGTCTGCTCTGGTGAAGGATCTCCCTGCCTGAAAGGCACTCAGATGGCAAAATAGGGTGAAATCTGAGGTGGGATAGTGTGGTCTCAGGACCCTTGGGGTCACAGGAAGACAGTGGGGAGGGGGTGGTGCTTGGGTATGGAAGAGTTGCCAGACATTGGAGCAAGGGAGCCGGGTACACTCAGTGAGCCCAGGAGTGGACTCTCAGCTCAAGGGTGCCATATACCACAAACCATGGCAGAACCAGTGAGACATCCTACCCTGGGAGGAGCGCACCACAGGAGTCTGCTGGGTTTGGAGACTCCAAACAGGGTCACATGACTGAGACAGAAATGGTTGGTCATAGCCTGGGTGAGCACAGAATGCAGATGGGAGTCCAGGAAGACAAGAGTGACTGACTGCATTTACCCCAGGGTGCACTGAGAAGTGGTGCCCAGAGCTCTCAGCTCTGGAACTAGAGATTGGGAGGCCACCATTGTCATTCTCATTCTCTAAAGCTGTGCTGGAAAGCCTTCAGGGAAAAAAAGCCGCAAAAAGCAATCTGGAGCAGATGACTTAGCCTGGCTCCTGGCAAGGGTGGTACAATTCCACCCTGGGGTGTGGGGGGGGGCGCTAGAGGATCACCACAACAGGAACCTCCCTCAGAAGATCAGCAGGAAGATCCAGCCAAAACCAAGTTTACCCATCATTTAGAACTGCAAAACTCCAGTGCTAGGGGAATTTTTCATACAGAATTCATTATTGGTTTTTTTCTCGCCATGGTTCTTTGGTCTTTCAATTTTAATTTTTTCTTCTCTTTATTTATTGCTGGGCTGCAAAGTTGGTTCAAAATCCACAAAACAATCAATGTGATATACTACATAAATAAAAGAAAGGACAAGAACCATAGGATCCTCTCAATAGATGCAGAAAAAGCATTTGACAAAGTGCAGCAAAGTTTCCTGATTAAAACTCTTTACAAGGTAGAAATAGAAGGAATATACCTCGATAGCATAAAAGCCATATATGAAAAGCCAACAGTGAATATCATTCTCAATTGGGAAAAACAGAGCTTTACCCTAAGGTCAGGAACACAAGGATGTCCACTCTCACCACTGTTGTTCAACATAGCACTGGAAGTCCTAGCCTCAGCAATCAGACAACAAAAAGAAATAAAAAGCATCCAAATCAACAAAAAAGTCAAACACTGATTCTTTGTAGATGACATGATATTCTGTGTGGAAAACCCAAAAGACTCCACCCCAAAATTTCTAGAACTCATACAGGAATTCAGCAACATGGCAGGATATAAAATCAATGCACAGGAATCAATTGTATTTTATACACTAACAATGAGACAGAAGAAAGAGAAATTAAGGAGTCGATCCCATTTACAATTGCACCAAAAACCGTGAGATACCTAGGAATAAACCTAACCAAATAGGCAAAGGATCTATACTCAGAAAACTATTTCTTTCCTGGAATTGAGGAAAACACAAAGAAATGGAAAAATGTTCCATGCTCCTGGATTGGAAGAACAAATATCTTTAAAATGTCTATGCTACCTACCTATACATTCAATGCAATCCCTATCAAAACACCATCAGCTTTTCTCACAGAGCTGGAACAAATAATTCTGAAATTTGTATGGAACCAGAAAAGACCCCAAATAGCAAAGGAATGTTGAAAAAGAAAAGTTCCAAAGCTGGAAGCATCACAATACTGTACTTCATATGGTCACCTCAAAAGTTACTGAAAAATAAGCTGTTGAAACCAAGTATCTCATCCCAGATTTTAAAATAAAACAAACTGCTTGTTAACTTAAAAGAAAGAAAGAAAAGAGTATCACAAATAAGGCACATACATATTCTAGATACTTTGGGATATTTCTTGTCTTAAATATAAATTGATAAGTGACATGCTGGTTTCCATTATAAAACAACCTAATTCAGCCACATGAAGTTTATTAAAAACTGCACATTTAAACTCTTTAATATTATTATTTATCCTTGCTAATGGAAATAGTGTTCAAACCTTGATTTGAGAATTACTTCCTAGATTGAAAGTGCTGTGATTGAATGATGAAAACACTAATGGTATTTAACTTAATTCATATTATACAACATATACAAGTGATATAGTAAGTAAGACCATAGTAAGATAAACAGCAAGAGGGCTAGATGTTACTAAAATGAAAAACTATATAACTATCTGTAAGAGGTTTCAAGTAGGCATTTTCACTTTCAATTATTAAATTTTTAAATTAAAAGCTGATATTGTTGGGATATAAATAAGGAAATTAGAGCAAAAAACTAGTGAAAACTCAAGGACTTCAATTTTCCATCTTGCAAATAATGAGTTAATCATTTATTCTTTGAGTTTATGTTATGTAATAGATATAAACCAGGGAATAAGAATACAAAGAAATCATAGTCTTAAATGGAAGCAGACTGAGTAAACAAATACCTGTAACATAATGCATTAAGGTATCACATTAGAACTGGGCATAAGTTGAAAGTTTGAAATTATTTCACAATAAAGAGTATTTGAAAATTATCTATCATTATAAAATAAACTAGTAATAGGACAGCCTGTAACAACTATTAAATAAGTGACATGGTAGAGTACAGAAATAGTCTGTTTGTTAGTACAGTAATGATTCAAAGACGCAATTGTGATAATGTTTGACTTATGGAAGAAAAAATAAAAACAAAGTTGCTATGATAAACTTCAATTTTTTTTAAGATTTTATTTATTTATTTGAGAGAGAGAGAGAGAGAGAATGAGAGGGGAGAAGGTCAGAGGGAGAAGTAGACTCCCCATGGAGCTGGGAGCCCGATGTGCGACTCAATCCAGGGACTCCGGGATCATGGCCTGAGCTGAAGGCAGTCGCTTAACCAATTGAGCCACCCAGGCAGCCCCTAAACTTCAAATTTATTGCAATAAAAAATTCATTTTCTCTTGACTAATGCTGACTACTAGTGCCTGAAATATTGCCTTTCCTGAAATCCGAGCTGAGGGAAGGTAGATTTCCAGATTAGTATTCTTACGTCAACTTCAAGTCAATTATAATGGTTTTAACTGTTAAAAAGGTAGGTAAAGGGAGGAGGAATTAAGATGGTGGAGGAGGAGTGCCTGGGTGGCTCAGTTAAGGGTCTCTTTTCAGCTCAGGTCATGATTCTGGGTCCTGGGATCAAGCCTGGTGTTGCATCAGGCTCCCTGTTCAGTGGGGAGCCTGCTTCTCCCTCTCCCTCTGTCCTTCCCCTTCACTTGAGCTCTCTCTCTCTCTCTGTCATTCACACTCACTCTCTGTGTCTCTCTCTCTCAAATAAAGTTAAAAAAAAAAAAAAAGACCGTGGAGGAATAGGGAGACTCTAAACTTGACTTATCCCTTAAATACAACTACACAGTTACCAACTCATTCTGAACACCTGAGAAATCGACCGATTGATCACGTATGAGAAAGCAACTGCTACAAGTCTATAAGTAGAAAGGCGACCTCTGTTTGGGAGGTAGGAG